TTTACCTCAATAAACTTATTTCAATTTCAGTAGAGAGGTTGGCAGCGAGACTAACGGCTCAGTAACGAAGACTAAGCTACGAGATCACGATAATTGAGTACAAGTAGAAGCTGGAAACGAAAAATGAGTCGAAGAAATGTTAGGACATAGGCGAACGCTGTACGGGTGGGCAACTAGTGGGGTGTACAAGAAGTTCTGCAAGCCACCTCCATCCACAACTTTAAGGCCAGATGCCACAAAGACTTACAACGGCACAACTGTTTAATTGTAACGCAACGGAGACCACGAGGCTGGTAGGCGGGGCAGGAAGAGCTTAGACTTTACTTTCCCGTAGTCACTGATAGGTAGGCTTCACGCTCTCAACAACCATCCACCACCACGCCCTCAACCACTATCCATTATCACGCCCTCAACAACCATCCACCACCACTAACAATACACTTCACAGTCGGCTACTTCAAATATAATTCGGATTCTGTATTTTTTTTTAATCAAATACTTTTTTATATACAAAATGTTTATATATTTATATATTTTACAATTTTTTATATATACAAACGGATATACAAAAGGATTATATATATGACGCCTCTCTCTCTCTCTCTCTCTCTCTCTCTCTCTCTCTCTCTCTCTCTCTCTCTCTCTCTCTCTCTCTCTCTCTCTCTCTCTCTCTCTCTCTCTCTCTCTCTCTCTCTCTCCCTCCCTCCCTCTCTCCCCTAGACGAGGACAAGTCACGAGTATTGAGGCAATCCCCGCCGCCATCTTGCCTCTCACTTTCCCTCTCACCTGGGTCTAATGCCTCCCAGACACTCCGCTCGGGAGGGGGATGGGGTGCCTCTAACACCCCCCCCCCTCCTCCTCCTCCATCTCCCCCCCCCATCCTCACCTCAGGCCGTCCACCAGGTGAAGGCTTCCAGCAAGTGACGGTGCCTACAGAGTGAAGGTTTCCACCGAGTGCTTCCCGCAGCAGCTGTCCGGTGGTGTTCACCCGTGTGAAGGTTTCCAGCAGTCCACGGGGGTTTCCCCAGGGTAGGTGAACCTGGCGCCCTCTGCCTGACCTCGCTCTACCCTCGGACCCGCTCCATCCCCCCCCCCTCCCCCCACCACTAACACCTCACCACCTCCAGGTCTGATATTGAAGAATTTAGAGAAACTCAATTTCATTACACAACTGGCCGAGGCTACGGTAATTGTCGGAGATCATTGTTGTGTGCGGGGCTGACAATGCCAGCAGGCACCGGCGATGGCATTGTCATCACCCACCCGAGGTTCGATTCCCGGCAGAGGCAGAAACAAATGGACAGAGTTTCTTCATCCATCTGATGCACCTGTCCACCTGGCAGTAAATAGGTATCTAGGTACGTAGGTACTGGCTAAATCTTTGGAATGAATGTGCTCATCTAGTATGCTTGTGAGTGTGTGTGTGTGTGTGTGGAGTGTGAGAGTGTGTGTGTGACGTGTTGTGAGTGTGACGAGTGAGTGAGTGATGAGAGTGAGGAGAGAGAGAGTGAGAGAGGGAGAGAGTGAGAGTGTGAGAGTGTGAGAGAGTGAGAGTGTGAGAGTGTGAGAGTGTGTGTGAGAGAGAGAGAGAGAGAGAGAAGAGAGAGAGAGAGAGAGAGAGAGGAGAGAGAGAGAGAGAGAGAGAGAGAGAGAGAGAGAGAGAGAGAGAGAGGAGAGAGAGAGAGAGAGAGAGAGAGAGAGAGAGAGAGAGAGAGAGAGAGAGAGAGAGAGAGAGAGAGAGAGAGAGAGAGAGAGAGGGAGAGGAGAGAGAGAAGAGAGAGGAGAGAGAGAGAGAGGAGAGAGAGAGAGAGAGAGAGAGAGAGAGAGAGAGAGAGAGAGAGAGGAGAGAGAGAGAGAGAGAGGAGAGAGAGAGAGAGAGAGGAGAGAGGAGAGGAGAGAGAGAGAAGAGAGAGAGAGAGAGAGAGAGAGAGAGAGAGAGAGAGAGAGAGAGAGAGAGAGAGAGAGAGAGAGAGAGAGAGAGAGAGGAGAGAGAGAGAGAGGAGAGAGAGAGAGAGAGAGAGAGAGAGAGAGAGAGAGAGAGAGAGAGAGGAGAGAGAGAGAGAGGAGAGAGAGAGGAGAGGAGAGAGAGAGAGAGAGAGAGAGAGAGAGAGAGAGAGAGAGAGAAGCGAGAGAGAGAGAGAGAGAGAGAGGAGAGAGGAGAGAGAGAGAGAGAGAGAGAGAGAGAGAGAGAGGAGAGAGAGAGAGAGAGAGAGAGAGTGAGGGGGGATATGCCACGAGACTAGTCATCGAATTGAAAGCTATAAGATACAAGGAAAGACTACAAGAAATAAACCTCACGTCACTGGAAGACAGATGAGTTAGGGGAGACATGATTACCATCTACAAAATTCTCCGAGAAACTAACAGGATAGATAGCGACAAACTATTTAGCACGGATGAAACACGAATACGTGGACACAGGTGGAAACATACCCAAATGAGACATTAGAAATAATTATTTTCAGTGTCAGAGAAGCTAACAGATGGAATACATTATTAGGCAATGATGTTATGGAGGCAGATTCCATACACAGCGTCTAATGTAGAAATGATGGAGCCCAGTAGGCTCAGGAATCTGTACATCAGTTGATTGACAGTTGAGAGGCGGGACAAAGAGACGAAGCTCAACCACAAGTAAGTGACTACAGTTGACCAGACCACACACTAGAAGGTGAAGGGACGACGACGTTTCGGTCCGTCCTGGACCATTCTCACAATCGACTTGAGAATGGTCCAGGACGGACCGAAACGTCGTCGTCCCTTCACCTTCTAGTGTGTGGTCTGGTCAACATACTCCAGCCACGTTATTGTGACTCATCCCCTGCGTAAGCGACTACAACTAGGTGAGTACACGCAGGCGCGCGCGCGCTCGCACCCCATCCACCATTCCATAAAAATGCAACTCTTCTGCCTAACCACAAATGCTGGAGACCAAGCAACCTGTCTAAACTACTGAGGCATCTGTCTGAGGGACAGGTGCAATGACCACCCCGTCCTCTTGGGTTGCCACTCCGTATAAAAACAACCTCCTAACCTATCCAGAAGCGTACGATCCCAAGCATCCCCCTAATCCTATAGAGTAGGGAGAAAACGTAGGATATTTTGAGCTGCTACTTTTATAAATAATATGCGTTTGTAACATTGGTTACTATAACGTAAAAATCGCGACCAATCAGTTGAGAGGACGGGTTGTGCAGGCTTAATAGAATGAGGTCTGGTCAACCTTCCCTGTCTTGTGTGTACCTAGATGTACTCACGGGCTGGAGTGTCTGATCTTAAAGCCTTTCGACGACCAGTAGCTCAAGGCAGTGACTTGTCTCACTCGTCTTACCTATTTTATTTACAGTTCAAACGACATCAAATTGGCCTCGACAAGTTCTTCATGCGGTCACTCATGTACGACTCTTAAGACTGAGGAGTTCCTCCCGACATCTTAATTTATCCCGAATTGGGGTCGAGGCGTGGGTGAAGGCCCAAGAGGCTCGGGTCTAGGTCCCACGGTGACCTATGGCTTCGATTCCAAATACACACAAAGGTCATGAGGCAGGCGCAGTCCCCACAAACGGCTGCTCGACGTTAAACCAAATAAGTGCAAGGTCGTAAGGATGGAAATCTGGTGTTGCGACAGAGGATGAAAAAACTAAATTAACGAGATGAACTTAATGATATCAGTGAGAGAACGGGCTTGAGGGAGCAGACTTACGTGTGTGAATGTCACTCACTCGCACCTATTTTCTTTTTGGCATAGAATTATATAGGAGCAGACGACGTCTGACTCCTCTCAGCAGACTCAGAGCTTTTTGTGCCCATCGTTAATGGTAAAACCTTATCCTGCAAGTTTTTTTTTCCGCTGGGATACGAAACGCAAATAGGTCTGTCTGTCTGTCTGTCTGTCTGTCTGTCTGTCTGTCTGTCTGTCTGTCTGTCTGTCTCTGTCTCTAACATGACGTGAGTGATCATGAGAGGAAGGCAACACGCCATGAGCGACAGACACCATCATAAAGGAAGCACAGTGTGACGGAGGGCCAGCCACGACGCATCACCTGTTGTTTCATCTTGGTAATAACACACTGGGGAGGGAGCAGCGCCCAGTGAAAGTTGAGGAGCCACACTCAGTTTCCCTGCAGCTGTTGTGTAGCTAGCGGCACCCCGCCCTCCCACCACCACCACTACCTACACAACCACCAACACAACCACCAATACCACCACCTACACAACCACTACCTACAGCAGTAGCAGCTACAGCAGTAGCAGATACAGCAGTAGCAGCTACAAGAGTCCTAGCAGAAGCAGCAGCAGCAGCTACATCAGGACCAGCAGAAGCAGCAGTAGCAGCTACAAGAGTCCTAGCAGAAGCAGCAGCAGCTACATCAGGAGCAGCAGCTGCTGTATGAGCAACTGTCCAAGTGAGGGACCACTCAGCCAGCACAACACCCCACAACCGAGCGGGTCACATGATCACCCTTGTATAACATGATCATAAACAACACTGCTAAGTCAACACTTAACAAAACAAAGGTGCCAGACGCAAGCAACACTGGCGCCACTGTGTATACTGGCATGACGGAGGCGGACACTACCCGCCACGACAGCTAGCCTCACTTGAGGGACCTACCTGCAGCCTCCCTGGAGAGGGTTGCTGCAGGTAGGTCGCCACCAGACCCACTCCCTCACCAAGCACCATAACAACAATGCCTAGTGCCACATACCACCCAATAGGCACTTAATGTTAACAAAAACCGGAAATCTATTACCCAAAAAATGACAAGCCTACTTGTCTTGCCCCCAGCTGCCCCCCCCCACAAGAAGTGTGGCTGGTCTCAAAAGTGTGGCAAAGTGTTACACAAGACAGGTCAGGTGTACAAGGGAGCAATAACCAGCTGGTTGATCAGTGTGCAGGTTTACGGGCTATTCATGCCCGGGCCACCTCTTGGGTGGCTTAATCTTTATCAATCAGTGTGCAGGGGCTGGAGGCCACCAGGACCTTAAGTCACACTCACCGCCTCAGGGGGGGGGCGCCCTCCCCGGGGGACGTCCTCACTATACACTCACCTGCAAAACACAACAATGAAAATTACAATCAAAAATACTTTGTCATGCTACTTAAAATTATTAACCTAAATGAATAATTGTAAATCAATAATACACAAATTAGTAATTATATATATATATATATATATATATATATATATATATATATATATATATATATATATATATATATATATATATATATATATTAAGCTAACAAAAATATGGCATTTTGACGTATTCTCCACCAAAGGCCAAAAATTGTGGTACTAGAAAATGGCAGCGGCTCGCGAAAGTGACATACTATCCCGTTTTCTGTTTTGAGTCCTCTGGTAGGTTAGGATAAGGGCACTTTAATACGACAGCTTCTTGACGGTGGGAAATCATAAGAGGACGGGCTGCCTTGTTTCCGGTTGACGGCTGGTTCATTTGTATAGTTTACCAAAGTTTATTAAAGTTATTTAAACAGAAGCTGTGCATTAAATGTAAACTAAGGGGCTTCTTTATGGAAAACTTACGGTGGTAGCCAGTAGGGCGCGGATCTCAATTCTATTCCTGTTGCCGGGGGAGAAGAAGCCTGAACTAAGGTTTACTCAGGTCCCCTCCTAGGACCTAGACCAGGTCCCCCTCCTAGGACCTAGACCAGGTCCCCCCTAGGACCTAGGCCAGGTCCCCCCCCCTTAGGACCTAGGCCAACTACTGACCTTCTCCAAGATGCGATACACAACAATTGCCTAATTCCCAGGTACCTAATTCACCGCTAAATGAACTTAGGCATCAGGTAGAAAAAAAAACATTCCCAACCGTTTCTATCCTATCTGGAAACTGAACCTCTGAGTACCTCACGTGTAAGCTGAGGACGTAGACCACTGCGCTACAGGACCCATATTCTATCAAATGTAAAATATTGAGCAGGTTCTGTGGATTGTCAGGTTATTATCGGCAGTGATTCTTACCCTGAAACATTAAGGTTTTATCCTGGGGTGTGTGGTGTTGTGTGGTGTGGTGTGGTGGTGTGGTGGCGTGGTGTGGTGGTGTGTGTGGTGTGGTGGTGTGGTGTGGTGGTGTGGTGTGGTGGTGTGGTGTGGTGGTGTGGTGGTGTGGTGTGGTGGTGTGGTGTGGTGTGGTGGTGTGGTGTGGTGGTGTGTGTGGTGTGGTGTGGCGGCGGCGCCAGGGGGGGGGGGTGGCGCCACACACTTGTGCAGCCACAAGTCTTGTGGCTATGGAGCTCACGGACACGCACAGTGTTAAGCAGATGCCACGTACCATTACAAGAGGGGGGGGGGGACACCACCTGGCCAACACGGCCAACCCGTCTTCATAATACACCCTCACATTTTGACGTATACTCCATCTCAGGCCAGCACTCCTCGTACTGGAAAAGGGTAGCGGCTCGCGAAGGTGACCTACTGTCCCGTTTTCTGTTTTGGGTCCTCTGGTAGGTTAGGATAAGGGCACTTTAGTACGACAGTCTCTTGACGTTGGGGAATCTTAGGAGGAGAGGCAATGGTCCAGAGCACGTAACAACAATTCCGCACTCTTGATTGTTGTGATGCTTCACGCCCCCCTCACACTCCATGACGTCACTTTCAACTGCCACCCCCCCCCTTTTACCATGCGTGACGTCACTCACCTCCCTTCACCGTTTGTGACGTCACTCACACCTGCCTCCACCGTCCATGACGTCACTCACACCTGCCTCCACCGTCCGTGACGTCACTCACACCTGCCTCCACCGTCCGTGACGTCACTCACACCTGCCTCCAACACCCCGTACCTAAGGTGGTGGTGTGAGCAGTACCAGTCAATAAGAGTGGCCACAGCCTCCCCCAGACTGGTCTAACTGTCAGCCCCCAACAATGTGCGTGACCTTCCGCCCACTGTAAATATCAGTCACTGTATTGTGTTACAAGTGTTCCGGGGCTATTCATCCCCGTGCCACCTCTTGGCTGGCTTAATCTTCAGCAATCAATCAATTGTGTTACAAGCGCACTCTCACGCTCAAGGGCTCGGTGTGGGTGTCATACGTCATTGGTGAGGGCCGAGCGTGAGGGCCTAGCATAAGAGCCGAGTGTGAGTCATGAGTGTGAGGTATATACTGTAGGTCCCTGAGACACCCTCACACTACCTCATAAGAACACACACTGGTGTATTGAAGACACACTCACGAACCACACGAGACCAATGGTATGTGAAGATCACGCTGCTGCGAGGACTGAGATAGTTCAAGAGAGATCACCACTCACAGCCTCAGACGACCAGGGTTCGAGACCCTCCCCACCACACCTGCAGCTAACTGTGTTACAGGTGTGTTTTACCACGGAAGGCGGGGTCCAAGAGCTAATAGCTAGATCCTGCAAGGAAAAATCGTAAATATAACTATAAATACACTTGCGTCAGCCAGACGATACAGTAATCGTGGCGCTCAGTGTGGAGGGGATCACACCCTACTTAGCGTAATCCTTCACCTCAACTATCAGGTATTTACTCTTATCCTACACTTCCTCTCGTCTTGCTTATCAGTCTACAAGCTCAAATTCCTTTACCTTTTGACAAGAGCTCAAGGGCGACTACGGCTAAGCTCACACCTTACACACTCTCAACACAGGCGTGAATAAGATGGATGTAATCACACCTTAACCACCGTGATTATGGTAATCACATTATCATCCATCAACTCAAGACATCTGCCGCAAACACTGAAGACGGTTAGTCTTGCACCGGGTCTACTGGAGGTGTTCTTGGAGAACACTCTCTCCAGGGAGAACACACGCTGTTAAGGTTGGAGTACCTTAATCTCCAACCTTAATGGACAATTTTAAATCTATTTCTAGTGTTAGGTCCGGTGGAGGGTCCCAGGACGAGGGTCCCAGGACGAGGGTCCCAGGACGACCACGACCCTCCTCTCTTTCATTACTCTTCCTGTGTGTGCTTGTGTTAGTCGTCTAAATATTCAACTTGTGGCAAAGTGCAACATGGACCACAACCGTCCAGTGCAGCCCTCAGCCCAGGAGTGGGCTGAGGGCTGCAGCAACACAACCGTCCCCGTTGTGTTGTTAAAAAAAAAAAACTTCAGAATGGTGGAGGACGGACCCAAACCCGTCGACCTCATAAACCTTATATTCCGTCGTGATCTACAAGACATGTGTGCGACTAGAGCAAGAAAAACAGTCACCTCTCAGCCGCTGTACAAGTGTTGACTCCAACCACAGATGTGTTCTTTATGGAGTTAAGGTACAATCGGCTTACATGAGGCCGATCGGCTTAGGCACCACCCAGGAGCTCGCGATTAGCAATTAATGAAAGACCCGATTTGTCAGAGCAATAATGCAAGAAGTATACAAGTGTATAATTATTATGATACTGCATTCAGATGCAACATTATTCAGTTTTCATGTGAGAGTGCCACACACCCACAACTAGCACGAGAGGACTGTTGTGTCTGGGTGTTAGTGCAGTTTTCTCCCCATAGAAAATGGCGCCTGATAAGAGGTCTAACGTCATTTCCGTCGTCGCACCTTCCCACGTCACGTGACCCACTAAGGCTGCTAATGTTGTCTCACATCCAAGAGAAAACACGTTCACTACTGGTGCTCTGGTGCTCAGCCTCCACCAGTCATTAACTTCATACGAAGATACAAATTACAAGTGTTGTGTGGCAACGGTCTCAAGCCATCATCTGTGGAAGGTGGAGTCTCAAGCAGTAATTATCAACAGCAAGACACCTTGGTACAGTGAAGGCTTTGCTGAGTGACGAGAGGAACCGGTTCTATAACAGTGATTTATGTAAGCACTGTCTGCAGCTCGGTTTGGACATGGTGGGTTTAGCAAGGAGTCAATTACTGACGTCAGATGAGAGACATGGAGTTATATACGAGACAACTGCAGCTCGTATCATTGTATATTCACTTGCAGACATGCAGTGAGTACAATGACCTGTCGCGAAATCACCCGACTGTTTGTTGTGTGTCTTAGAAGACACCAACGTGGACGAGCACCGATCACACGCAGTGAGGTTGCTCCGGATATCCAATATTCCGAGGAGGAAACATCTTGAGGTTATCTTGAGATGATTTCGGGGTTTTAGTGTCCCCGCGGCCCGGTCCTCGACCAGGCCTCCACCCCCAGGAAGCAGCCCGTGACAGCTGACTAACACCCAGGTATCTATTTTACTGCTAGGTAACAGGGGCATAGGGTGAAAGAAACTCTGCCCATTGTTTCTCGCCGGCGCCCGGGATCGAACCCGGAACCACAGGATCACAAGTCCAGTGTGCTGTCCGCTCGGCCGACCGGCTCCCTCAACGTTGTGAGTGATCAACACTCCATAACAACTCTAACAAAATACTACACAACTCTAAACAATGGACATAAACTGGATAAGTTCTGCTTCTGGAAAGACCTGGGTAAATACTTTTTTTAACACAGTTGTTGGTTAATGGTACAGATTACCGGGTAAAAAATAATAGACGGGGGATCGGTGAATTGTTTCAAGCGTAGTTTAGATATCAGCCATGTGCGACACCTTAACTTCCCAACAGTTTGACCGGCTAAATGTGTTAGGATGCCACGTGGCTGACATGTTTACTGTTGCTGTACTGGTCTTTGTCTCAAAACATCCATGATCGATTAACATACAAATATATTATAAAGAATACATCATAACCAAGCGGCATAATTACACATACACACACACCACACCCTCCAAGGTGGAGAGGGGGGGGGGGGTGTGGTCCTCAACACCCTACTGGTTCACAAGTATGGAGAGTATTCGCCCTACACCTTCCTGTGTAGGGTGAGACCTGTGAGGGTGAGACCAGCACCCGTGAGGGTGAGACCAGCACCCATGAGGGTGAGGCCAGCACCCGTGAGGGTGAGGCCAGCACCCATGAGAGTGAGGGCAGCACCCGTGGGTGGTGCGTGACACAACACACCTCGCCACCGTCGTGCAGTGAGAGCTGCCACCAGGAACGACAGTGAAGGAGTGCTCATCTCCACCGCACGTCATGCACACTGCACGTTTT